AAAAAAAAAAAAACAGCATTACATATTTTTTTTTTATAAAAAAATAGTAATCTTTTGCTCGTGCATTTTTAACTATTAATCATATCAATTACTATTTTTTTATTATTGTATTACTTCAAATATTAATAATTACATTTTCATCTAATATTGATTTACAATCTAAGATTTATATCACTTTTGTAAAGCCTATTTTCCATCTTTTCTTTTTTTTATTGTTTTGCATAGGGGGTAAATTTTTTAAGGAAAAAAAAAATGATTATATTAAAATTTAAATAAATTAATGACCCCTGATCTTGAGCATCAAATTTTAGCACGCGGTAAATTGTGGTGCAAGGGAAAAGAACTGTTTTTTACTGCTCTTAATATGAAAATCTCATATTACAAAATAAATAAAGGGCAATGCTATATGTACACCCCTTTTTAATAAATTACACAAAGAACAATGCTATATGTACACCTCTTTTTTACACACAAGGGGTGTACATATAGACACCCCCTAAATAAAAGGCAAATAATAATTGTAGAGCAATTAATTAATTAATATATGGGGATCAAATGTCAACATCATCGTACTCTTGAGGTGATGAGCCAGCGAATGGCTCGCTGACAGCGCACATTGTGATTATCTTTGAAAAGGTTTTGTTGTTCAGAACGACCAATAAGGACATTGTTTGCTGCATGACTTCATTTGATTGGTTAGAAAAAAAATAATAATAATAATAGTTGGATTAAAAGATTTATTTTTTCTCGATAATAATGTATAAGATTAAAAAATAGAGGATTTCAAAATACAGAAATTTTATGGAGTCATGGATGAAATGCCTCGGAGAGATGTGTATGAAATGCTCGAGAAGAGAGGTGAAATAGATGCCCTCACTAGCATAGTGGCTAAAATAGTAAAGGGAGGAAGAATCCAAGTAAGAAGAAAGAATCACTCGCTCTAGGAGTCTCACCAAGATAGAGGCGCGGTAAGTTAGGGAAGCAAAATTTGATTGGATCTCTTTCCTAACTAGAATTTTCTTTGATATTAAACTCTATATAAAGGTAACAGGATTTCTTTATTGCCAACACACATTCTACACCTCATTTTGTGTATTCTCAAATATACAGTTTGAGCGTGTTCTGACTTGAGCGTCGGAAAGTTTTCCGTTGGGACCCCACCACCCTACGTATTGCAGGTCATCGGAGCTCGAAGGAGAGGACCGTTCGAGGCATAAGGTGCTCAATTCGTTCGTGACTCAAAGTGATGTAACAAATTAGCGTGGCCTGTGGAAAAACTCAGTCTTTTACCGGCTACAAATGACTAGCATTTATCTCGCAAATTTTTGCATTGTTAAATGACAACCACATAAAGAATCTGACGGAAGATATGGACACTGTCTGGCAGAAGAAGCCGATGGGGGTCTGGATCCCCGTTGGGTTGGACGCATTCTTCTAACCCGTTGGTCGTGCCCTATGAAAACGTTGTTTGATCTTAGGACAACTCTAAAGTCGACACCAAATATACCAACGACTTGTTAAGGCACAAGAGGACCCCATAAAGAGGTCATTAAGTACACGTGAAGAATTGAGCAAAATCATAGCAGAAGTAGTGCCCCAAGTCCATGAGCCAAGCCAAACGGATCACATTGTGTTGCAATCACAGAGATGAAAAGAGTTAGTGGCAACAACCACCACAAAGCCACCTCAGGGCACTGCATTCGAACCACTCATAGGCTATGTCAAGGAGCTACAAGCCAAGGTCGTGAGAAAGGTGGTTTCGAGTGTCTAAGACCACTCTTTTTTAAATGGAGTCCTTGAAGGAGACATGCCACAAAGATTCTGCGAGCTAAACTATGTTCTATGATGGCTCAACAGTGTTAGTGTTATATACTAAAAGTTTGGTTTTGGATAATATTATACTTTTACCCTATATGAATGAGAAACATGTTAGATTAAACAAGTTTTATGCTATGTTGTTTTGCAATTAGATAGTGTGGGTCGTCCGGGCGAACCGAATATCATTCTATCAGTTACTTGCGAAACAAGAATAATGGTTCACAATCTAGATGGAAATGAACACCCCATCCAAACGGTTGTAGTGTCAACGATAGAGTTTATCTTGACTAATTAGTTGCACTAGTACATTTATGTATTGAACATGATCCCAAAGAGGAAAAGTTCGTTTTATAATGATCGCCGTAAACGAACTAGGCCTCGGTTAATTACTGCGTTCTCTTAATCCGTAAGATGTTAAATAGACATATATATGCAATATATATTATTTTGATTCACATGGGTGAGGTTCAGTGAACTGAATTAATAGTCCCACTGTCTTGGATAATATTGTTGCATGTATGATGTGCTATTAGGATATTTACGGTCACCATGTACGTTTAGTTTGATAATGTCCTTAGAGTGAGTTCATTAAGGATTATTATGCTAAACCCTGCATATGGATTAAATTTCGGCATAGTAATAACGTGATGAACGAGTGCTAGCTTCGGTGAAATAATAATAAATTAATTAATTATTGCTTATCAGTAATCGAATTAATTAATGGATACTATATTTTAAATATGGGGAGGTAATTAGGGTAATTATAACTGGAGTCTCAATTGTAAATTAGGCTAAAAAAAGAGAATGCAATGATATTATGTTAGTGACCCATAATATTATTTAATTAATTGGAAGAGTGGGCTAGGCCCGTAGTTAGTCCAATTAATTAAGAAGTCATATTCCTAATCTCCTGAGGGTCCCTACTGTAGCTCTATATATACACCATTAGGCTCATAGAAAAGAGAAGAAGAGATCAGAATTCTCATACATGCAAATAAAAAAACACGCCCGACGTCTCCCTCTCAGTTTTCTGTTCGAGCTTTATCTTCTTCTTGTTGCTCCACAGATACAAGTTGAAGAGGTGTTTGAGATATACAGTATAAGATACCGAGGTAATTGAGATACATATATTCATCAACCTCGGAAATCAACCGGAGCCGACGAACAATGACCCAAAGACCGAGGATCACTGACCCCAGCCACCGAAGCGACGTCGTGAACCAGCCGAGACTGACCGCCACGACGAGCAGATCCAGCTCACGGCCGGCTCGCGACAAACCGACGACCCTACGACACCCATCCGACGACCCGTGGCACGACCAGCTGCTCCCGGCGATTCGTTCGTGTTCTCGACATGTTCGTCTGTCAATCCCGGTCAATCTGAATCCGCAAGATTTAGAAAATTTTAAGCCGTAAGTTTTCTACTTCAAACATTTAGATCTGTTACGCATAGGTTTACGTTTGCTATTGAATTTGTAACTTGTACATAATGAGATCCTCATAGATCCCAACACTAATGATGGAGATAAGGATGTTTAGAATCTTTAATTATTATTATTATTATTATTATTATTATTATTATTATTATTATTATTATTATTATTATTATTATTATTATTATTATTATTATTATTGGTATTATATATTTGTTAGGAAACTTATTATTTATCACTTTGTTAGGATTCTTGTATTGTTAGACAAGTTAGTATTGTTAGGATTCTTGTCTTGTTGGACAAGTTAGTATTAGGGTTGTAGGAGCCTTATTTAAGAGACTCCTCATCTATTGTTTTATGAAGTTGGTTTTGAATAAGAAAATGAATTAATTGTGAGTTTTACGTATTTTACGAGAGAGTATCTCGTTTACTTGTTTATCCTTCACATTCGTACGCTTTCCCTACATCAGTTGGTATGATGTAGCGAAAGTGTGCGAGTGGGAAGGAT